ATGGATAATAGCCCAGTTGGAGTTCTGTTTATACACTTATACTTCTTAATTCTATAGTATTAACAAAGAGGGAGTATTAAATTCTCTTTAGAAACTTCTGCAGGAAGATAGATGAATACTTTTATAAAAAGTATTTCAGCTTTTGAAAGAGTTGAAAGAAGTATTCAACTAGTTTTGTGGGTTTTTTTCCTCCCCCAAAGATATTTTTTCCATTGCTTTTGCACAGAGAGTGGGAGGGAGAGAGAGACATCAACATCAATGTGAGACACATACAGTGGTTGCCTCCTGCTCACGCTCTGACCAGGCCAAGCCTGCAACCAAGGGACGTGCCCTTGGCCAGAATCGAGCCTGAGACCCTTCAGTCCTCGGGCTGACGCTCTAACCACTGAGCGAAACCGTCTAGGGCTCAACTAGCTTTAAAACATAAAGTATACCTGTGAAAATAGCACGTCAAACCCGTACTTAATAATCGGCACAGAGTTCATGAGGAACACTCAAAACACTTATTCTCTAGGACTTACTTATCTATTTATTTTTAATATATATTTTTTATTTTTTAGTCACAGTTTACATTCAGTGTTATTTTGTATTAGTTTTAGGTGCACAGCATAGTGGTTAAACAATCTTATACTTTACAAAATGGTCCCCCCTATATTTCCAGTACCCACCTGGCACCATACATAGTTATGACATTATTGACTATATTTCCTATGCTTTACTTTATATCCCTGTGGATATTTTGTAACTACCAATTTGTACTGCTTTATCTGGGATTTATTTTTATTTAATTAATTAATTTATTTTATTTTAATTTCTCTTTATTGTTGAAAGGATTACAGGTGTCCCATTTATTTCCCCTATTGACCCCCTTCACCTTGCTCCCACCCCCTCCTCAGGCCTTCACCCTGTAATTGTCTGTGTCCATGGGTTATGCATATAACACCTTTGGTTAATCTCTTCCCACCCCTTATCCTCCTTCCCTCTTCCCTCTTTCCTCTGAGATAGGATAGACTGTTGCATGCTTCAGTGTCTCTGGGTCTATTTTGTCAGATTATTTTGTTCATTAGCTGCTTCTTAAAGAAGACCCTTCAACATTTCATGTAATACTGAATTGGTGGTGATGAACTCCTTTAGCTTTTTCTTCTCTGTGAAGCTTTTTATCTGACCTTCAATTTTAAATGATAGCTTTTCTGGGTACAGTGGTCTTGGTTGTAGGTTCTTGCTTTTCATCACTTTGAATATTTCTTGCAACTCCCTTCTGGCCTGCAAAGTTTCTGTTGAGAAATCAGACACCAGCCTTATGGGTGCTCCCCTGTAAATAACTAACTGCTTTTCTCTTGCTGCTTTTAAGATTCTCTCTTTGTCTTTAACCTTTGGCATTTTAATTATGATGTGTCTTGCTGTGGGCCTCTTTGGGTTCCTCTTGTTTGGGACCCTCTGTGCTTCCTGGACTTGTAAGTCTATTTCTTTCTCCAGGTAGGGGAAGTTTTCTGTCATTATTTTTTCAAATAGGTTTTCAATTCCTTGCTTTCTTTCTTCCCCTTCTGGTATCCTCATAATGCAAATGTTGGTCTGCTTGAAGTTGTCCCAGAGACTCCTTACACTATCTTCATATTTCTGGATTCTTTTTTCTTTTTGCTCTTCTGGTTGGGTGTTTTTTGTTTCCTCATGTTCCAAATTGCTGATTTGATTCTCAGCATCCTCTACTCTACTGTTGATTTCATGTAAATTATTATTCTTTTCAGTTCGTGTAGCCTTCATTTCAAATTGGTACTTTATTATGTCATTGATGTCTCACTAGTTTCCTTAATAGACTTGCTAATATCCTTGAGCATCCTTATAACCATAATTCTGAACTCTGTATCTGTTAGCTTGCTTGGATCTTCATTTAGTTCTTTTCCTGGAGATTTCTTCTGTTCTTTCATTTGTGACGTCTTTCTTTGCCTCCGCATTTTGGCTGCTTCCAAGTGTTTGTTTCTATGTATTAGGTAGAGCTGCTATGTCTCCTGGAACTTGTAGAGTGGCTTTGTGTAGTAGGTGTCCTGTAGGGCCCAGTGGCTCAGCCTCCCCAGTCACCTGAGCTGGGCCTTCTAGGTGCTCCCCTGTGTGTGCTGTGTGCACTGTCCTGTTGTAGTTGAGCCTTGGTTGCTATTGGAATCACTGGGAGGAATTGACCCCCAGGCCAACTGGCTTTGAGGATCATCTTCAGCTACAGCCAAAGATCTGCTGTGCTGGGGACACCCCTGTGAAGCAGGATTTGCTTCAGTGGGGCCTCTCAGGAGGTGCAAAGTCAACCTCTGCTGTGCCTTGCCCAGGGCCACCCAGCATGAGCTACACAGCAATCCATAGATGGCTGCTGCTTGTGCTGGGCTTGGAGGTGTCCAGGAGAGCCCAAGCTATGAACCAGTATAGGCTGCCACTAGTGCCACTCCTGGGACCACTTATGGAGAGGTATGGGGCATGCTGAGACCAGCTGCTGCTTGTTTGAGAGATTTTAGGGAAGTCTTAAGAATGAAGCTAGAGAGGCCACTTGCATAGAAAAGCCACTGGAAATGGCTTGGATGAGCTTACAAGTTGTGAGGGGCAGGGTCTGCAGGAATCACCAGGGTGGGACCAAAGGTGTGAGTCAGGTTGATGGAGATTTAGAGAAGGTGCCTACCTGCAGGCTTTGTGAGGGGAGGGCTCATCAAAGGAGCAATGGCCTCTGCCAGCTCTTTTATCTGAGAGAAAGCTGCCCCTTCAGCTCTCGCCCTGAATCCAAGCAAGTTAATTACTCCTCAAATGTCCCAGGTTCCTTTCAAGCTGCTGCCTAGCACTGGGCTCAGAGGGAGCGCATATGAGTAAGTCTATGCGTGGGCCCTTTAAGAGGGATGCCGGGGGCTCCCACAGCCTCCATTCCACTCAGCCCCAATCCCTGCTGTCTTTATAGCCCGAAGCTGTGGACTTCTTTTCCCATCACTGGAACCATGGTCTGGGGGGGCCTGATGTGGGGCTGGGACCCCTTGCTCCTCCAGGAAACCTCCACCGCCGAGATACCCTTCCCGGGTTTAAACCGCGGCACCGGGTGTGGGCCTGCAGCCGCATCTCCGCAATTCAGCCCCGATCTGCCTGCGTCTCCGCCCTTCCTACCAGTCTCGATGCTCCTTCAGTTCCCTGGTTGTAGGGCTTCTGTTCAGCTAGATCTCAGGATGTTCTGAGTGATGGTTGTTCTGTAGTTTAGTTGTAATTTTGATGTGGTCAGGGGAGGTGGCAGGTACCACAGATACCTACTCCACCATCTTGTTGTCTCTCTGGGATTTATTTTTAATTTTAGCAAGAAGTACTTGCTCTTGATGTCACAGGATTTTTATGAAGGTGTTTATTCTTTTTAAATTATGTAAACTTCAAGTTCTTGAACTAAAATGTACGTTGTCAACCCAAACTATAATCTAAATTACAAAGATAGAATGCAGCTTTTAAATATAGTGAACTTTCTACTTTTCTTACCCATTTTTTTAAAATCAATTTTAGTGGGTCATAGAAAATACAACATTATTTCATCTGTTTGAGTTGAAGGCTTTTTATGCAGTTTTTTCCTTCTTTTTCTTTCATGTTAGAGAGAGGAAGGAAGAAGGAGAGAGAGAGAGAGAACATCAATGATGAGAAAGTTGTTGATCAGTTGCCTCCTGCACGCCCTCTGCTGGGGATCGAGCCCGAAACTCGGGCATGTTCCCTGACCCGGAATCAAACCTCGATCTCCTGGATCCTAGGTTGACGCTTAACCGCTTAGCCTCACTCGGCTGGTCTAGAGTGTAATTCTTTAGGTAGAACAATGAGATCATTACTTAAATACAGATTGTTAACTATTAAGAGAAATTGTCCAAATCACATTTGTTCATATGGACTTGCTGTCAGAAATTTTATTACTCAATATGTTGTAAAAAAACACACAAAGATTTTAATAAAATCCAGATGTCAAATATCTCAAGATTTTTAAAGACTTTTAAAAGTGTTTGTAGTTTGTATTAGGGAGTCTTGTTTATATTTGTGAAATTCTTTTATTTAGTCTTCTACAATTATTAAAAGTAATAGAATATTTAAAATGTTAGTAAGAAATGTCTAGAACTGTAATATGGAAAGTTCTATTTGGTTTTCTTAAACGTTTTTTAAAATGAAAAAACCTACCATCCACTACGTTAAGATTTGTTTTAAATAGGCCTCTCTTCAAATGTGATCATACCATATTCGCTCATGGAAATACAAACTACTCTTTATAGTGTCCATTACAACACATTTTTAGTAATAAACAGAATTTTTTTTCTGTGAACTATGAGTGACAGAAAAATCTTTACATGCTAAGAGGTACAACACTACAGAATGGTTCTTTGTCAATTTCATGAGTTATTATAATGAATTTTTATTCCCAAAAATTTCATGGAATAAATACTTTCTTAATGGCTTAATTTGAGAGGTGCTAAAACCTCCTTAGGTCAAATGATCTCCCCCATTGGTACCAAATTTTACCATTTGCATTTAATTTCCTTTATGCTAAGCTCAGCTCCTGGGGGTGGGTGTGTGTGTGTGTGTTTACTGCATTCTGTTTCTGAGGGAACAATAATTCTCCATGATGCCTCAGTGAGCTTGACTATATCAGTTTGTTTTGCTCCCTAGGAATGAGTTTCCTGTCAGCGACAGAAATTCTTAAAGGGGACAGTACCAAGAAACAGGCTTGCTGTAGGGCCAGCCCGGAACAGGGAGTGATGGTCACTGACCCTATTGTGCAAATAATCAGATGTTTCTGGGTGGCAAGTGCTTGTTGGGTATTGGTGACTATTTTGACAAGCTGTAGGTGTTAGCCTGAGGGCTTTTTCTGATGAATTTAGCACAATGATCAAAAGGTTTTCATTGGTCTAATCTATTCATTCCTTCCATGAGAACTTGAAAATGAAAGCGATGGTTAAATGCTGACTGAAGTGGAATTAACCTGCAATTAATTTGTCCTTCACTGTTGTGTGTTTCAGAGGCTGGAGCACAAGGAAGTTTTAGTGGGCTTGTTGTTCCTGGTTTTCCCATTCATCCCAGCCAGCAATCTCTTCTTCAGGGTGGGTTTTGTGGTGGCCGAGAGAGTCCTTTACATGCCCAGGTAATTACTGCTCATGATTTCGTCTTTATGAGACCTGCCCTCTGTCACCAACACCAACAGCCCCAGAGAGACAGTCCTTTAGTGTATTGCAATTAGATCCTTGTGGAGCTAAGGTGCTTATTGCCTCAGCTTTCCAAACAGCCGCAGAGAAGGTTGGATGAGCTCACGCTTGCACTCGTTCACTCTAGGTTACGGGGGCTCACCGCCAGCTGGAAGCGGGACAGTTAAATGGGAAAGAGCAACTGGAGTATACTCAGGATTTTAGCAGCAGTCATTTACCAATACATTCCTTGCCAAATACCTCTATGTTTTATTAAACATAATTATAGTAATTTTCTAGAAATATTTTTGATGTGCTTAAAATTATTATGTTAAGTAACACGATTATAATTTAATTCTATCTTCTTCCTTCTTTCTCTATTTTTCTTTGATTTTTTTAATTAAAAATAAGAACAGTTTCAAAAAAATTTGTCCTTGAAAAAAAAATGGTTACAAATACAAAGGGCATTTAGACATGTGTGATTACATAATGCCACTTAATTCTGAATATTTGTGCTGTGCCGAAGCTTGTTTTTTCTCCTGTCTTATTCAAATGTCATCATTCCAAGGCCACAGTTCTTTTCAGATGCCTGGATGTGTCCCTGAAATGGTTCTGCCATTTTTCTGTTGTGTGATTTTGAATAAGACATGAAGCTTTTTAGAACCCAGGCTTTCTCATTTTGAAAATAAGGATTTTTGGTTAACATCCTAAAGTGAAATAATTTAATGAATGATGTGTAAGAATGAACTTTTCTAAAAGGAAGTAATATAAACCAAAATATTATAAGGAAACTATTTCTTATTTATTGATATTAGATTATGATTTCAAAATAATTTAAATAAAATTAATTTAAATATCAGTGAATAAGATTTAATTTTATTTATTGATATTGAATTAGAAATTTAAAAGTACATATAATTAGAAATGAATTTCATAACCTTTGAATTCCTCCCAATCCAAATACCTAACAGCTTTCCTAAGACTTTGCAGCATCTGATCTTGACTTGGTTGAGGAGACAGCAGCCCTTCAGTTTATGTGTCTTCTGTACAATTTGGGAAGGAGATGATTTCTTGGTAAATACTGTTCTATAAGGACAAAAATACAACACAGATTCTTCGAATTCTGTATGGCCTTAAGATAACAGGCTTGTGAGGCCTGGCCAGTAATAATCATGAAGGGCGAAAGGGGACATCAGTGTCTGGTCTAGGTATGTTTTTGCTTAGAGCTGTTGAAAGTGGCTAGTCAGGTGTTCCTTGTAATACCGATAATTCCAAGTGGAGTCGATATTCGTTCTTCATTGAACAGATATTTACCGAGCACGGTTGCTGGGTGTACTATTCTAGAAGCTGAAGCTACAAACACAAGTGAATCTCAGTTTCTTCCCTCAAAGAATGTACTAGCTGCTTATTAATAAAAAGGCATCTTTCTCTCTAAACATTTAACAGGTCGTAATATTCTTTAAAATATTATTCTCATTAATACTATTTTAACATTCATTATATCAGAACTTTTATTGAATCTGTGTTGTATGTCAGCCACTATGCTAAACATGTTGTATGTGTTGTATCAGTTAATTCACGCTGAAGGTGGTGGTTAACAGCATCCCTCTGAAGTCAGAGTGCCGGTGTTGGAATTCTGGCTGAAACGTGAGCATGATGTCCTAAGCCTCAGTTTCCTTATCTGTGTACAGTGAAAATAATAACACCCAACTCAATGAGAGATTGTGAGCATTAAATGAGATGATCATATGTAAAACCTAGAAAGTGTTTTGTGTTGTACGTGGTTGATAAATATCACGTATTGTTGTTGAATCAGTTGAGGTAGCTGATAGCATTGTTCCTATTTTGTAAAAATAAAGCCTGTGCCTGAGACATGAAGTGACTTGCCCCAGGTGGCATATCTAGTGAGCCGCAGAGCTGGGATGCAGATCCTTGCCTACTGACAGATCTCTCACCTGCCAGACTACATTACTTCTCCAATAGAGACATAGTGTTTTTCTCAACTGAAAAAGAGGAGAAGATGTAGACTCAGTTGAAGTACTTTCAGAGCAACTCCATTTGGTAATCGGGACTTGATACTTCCAAGAGTCCTATGATCTAAATCCTCAGGAGTCTGGGGTCTGGGTGACAAGGAATTGCACGTGCAACACACTTTCCTAATCCAGATATAAGAGAACAATTTGTGATAAAAAAGAAGCTAAAATTTCACTTTTCTGAAAGAGACCCTTAGGTAAACACTGTGGAATTCCATAATATTGTCATCAGCCATTGGTGGAATATCTTATTTAAAGCAAGGGGTTCCTCTCACCCAAGTAGGTGTGTCCTAACACCTGAAAAAGCATGTCAGCTCTGGCTCTTTCCATGCTGCCATATCTTAAATAGACCTTCCTCTGCCTTATTTCATTTTCTCTAAAAAAGACAAAGTGGTGCCCCCGCCCTTTTTCTGCTAGGAGTAAAGTGATTTGGATTAAAATAAAAGTTCTGAATACGAAGAAAACATCAATATTACCAAGAGCAAGTGCCTGCCTCTCAGAAGCAATTTGGATTTTGCTGCATTGTGCAAACTTGGTGTAGAGTCATCCAAAATCAATTTCAGGAAACTGGCCTTCATTAGAAAGATGGCTGTTCTCTTCCCTTCGAGTTCCTGCAGCTATGCATTGCAGTATTGGAGATATGCCATCATTTTCTGAGGACTTCCCTTTACTGCCTACCATCTCCTGTATTAATATCCATTTCATCACTGTGCCCAGCCAGGCCACTCTCCCTCTCCAAAGCCATGTGACGGAGGTGGAGGTGCTCTCCTGCCCTGTAGAGGTGGTCCTGGGGGCTGATAAAGAGGTCAGATTGCTAGGCCAGGTTCACAGCTCTGAGCACAAACCTGAGAGTTTAATGCAGATTTTGAGAGGCTGGAATTGAGGAAACCTAGGATTTTTTGAGTGAGACACTGCACCTCTAATGAGTCCCAGTATTTCTTCAGTCGTCACTGTAACTAACACCACAGGGGAGCTGTTCTACTTATGACGATGGATTCCATTGTTACCTAAAATCGTGCAACAGAGGTGGTCCAAGCTGAGTCAGAAATTAAAGCTTAGGTGGGGCAACTTCTATGCCGTGGGCTTAGAGACTTCTAATGACTTCATCAGAGCCAGTTTGTAAATACTGACAGTTTTCTGTGAAAATGGGGACTTCTTCTGGGAAAGGTTTTACCCAGCAGTGATCAGCCACCCATCTCAGTGGAGGATGGTAGACAGTTGGACAAAGAGCTGCCGAAATCTTCCATGGGGGGGGGCCGAGGGGGCACAGAGAATTTTGCAGGTGCTGCCGGCATCCCTCGGAAGGTGTCAGAGCACTGGATTATGTCTATTGCATTTAATGAACCTACGCATTGACTTGATGATGGTGATGGACATGTCCCAAGCCTTTGATATACACAGGAATCTTCTCTGCGTGACCCTGTTTCCATTATTGACCTTGATAAGCCGTTTTCCACAGCATCAGTACCCAGTACTTTAAGGAAAAGATACACACAGTGTACTCAATGGCATTCTGGGAAATACAGGTCATTATCTTTATGCAGAAATTCTGTGTTGTCTCAAAAACTTGAGCAGCCGATAGGAAAATGGAGTAAATTGGTAATCCTTCTGAGGAAGGGGGCTTCGTGCTCATCAACTATTTCAAGTTATTATGGAGCCAACTCCTGGCCTTCGAGTGTCACTCCTGAACACCGTGGAAGTGTTCTACGGTGACTGGGTGAGTCCCGTCAGTCCCAGGGGCTCTTTTGGCCACGTTACAAGATGAGCCCAGAATGAGCCAGGCCAGCAAAGCTCTTGCATCTTCCACCTTTATTCCTAATAATGACCGGGCCATATAAACATCCTCACTCCCTCCATCCTAAGCTGGGAAAGACTGAAAATACCGCCTCCTCTCACCTGCACCTCCTTTCGCTTGCAATCTGCAGATAAAAGGCACAGAAGTGGGCTATCTCTATAGCACTGCATGGCTTTAGGGTCAGAGCTTTACCACCAAAAAAAATTGGAATAGTCCTTTCTTCTGATGATAAATGCCAATTTTGTCCATGCCTTTGTTGAACAGGCAGGAGAGTTCGGGGCTTAAATCATTCTTTCACAGGAATTTTTATCTCTTATTCTTATCTCAAGAGCGGCATATACTTTTACGGTTACCTCTTTTGTATTTTATAAAAAGCACATTAGAATGTTTAGAAGGACTAAAATCAGAACCAGTGAAGCAGAAATTGTTGTTGAGCGCGGTCAAATAAAGTCATAGTCTGTGTTCAGCTATCCATTCACCTGCCAGATTAAGGATGATTTATTCACTTCAGTGCCAAAGAGCAAATTCCTAAGCTTCTTTAAGAAAACATGAATGAGTGGAGGTGGGAAAAGAGTAGGCAGAAATAAGGGAAGGCAGCAACAATATTATGGGTAGAACTGATCACGAATAATTGAAACCACAAAAGATAGCATGTAGTTGAGGGAAGAAAGAAAAATTAAAAATTGCCCTACTCTTAGAAAGAGATGCCATTCTGAATTGTGTAATCCCTAAATGTATAGGCAGACTAGACATGGAAAATTGAGGGAAAAAAGCACTCTTGTTCATTTTCAATTTTGCAAAATATTTTCAAATCATACCTATCAATTTGAATTGGAATTTTAAAAATCTTACATAGGTTGCTATTGAAACAATACTGCAGTATTTATTTTTAGCTGGATAAATGAGAAATGTTAACTCCGAAGGAATACTACCTCTGTTACCTGACATTGGGGACCCCTTCTGATGAACCATCTATGCATGTGCATCTTCAGAGTTGCTGGAGGAGAGAGATGATTATTTAAGAGGGAATCAAGACCTGTCTGGTGTAGCCCAGTGCGTAGAGTGTCAGCCCTCGCACTGAAGGGTCACGGGTTCAGTTCCCTGTCAAGGGCACGCACCTGGGTTGCAGATT